GAAAATAGACTGAATCATTCTCATTCTCTCTGAGTTTTTCTCTCCTTTGCATACGTTGCTTACAAAAGGTTTTATTGTTCTGTAAATCAGTCTCTAAAACCAGCAAGCTAAATACCAAATTCTAACATTTAGATCTTTCTCACAACTTTTTGATGGCCACTGTAGAACTTCGGTGGACAAACCTTCAATATCTTGACCTTCGCAACAATTCACTCCAAGGAAAGCTTCCAATTCCACCACCTTCCACATTTTACTTTTCCATATCAAACAACCAATTAATTGGAGAGATTCCTCCAACTATTTGCAGCCTGAGTTTCCTTCAAATACTTGATTTGTCTTATAACAGATTGAGTGGTAAAATTCCTCAATGCATAGGGAACTTCAGTCAGAGGCTCTCCGTTTTGGATCTAAGGAAGAATAAATTTGATGGCATCATTCCTAATACCTTTTCTGCACGGAATGTTTTGAGGAATCTTAACCTTAATGGAAACCAGTTGGAAGGGCCATTGCCGTTGTCTTTGCTCACATGTAGAGAGTTGGAAATTCTAGATGTTGCAAAAAACAAAATTCATGACACATTCCCCAATTGGCTGGAATCTCATCCAAAGTTGCAAGTTCTTATGTTGAGGTCGAACAAATTCCATGGTGGAATAGGTAATCCGAAAACTAGATTTCCATTCCAAAACTTGCGCATCATGGACCTCTCCAACAATCAGTTTAGTGGTCTTTTGCCAACAAAATATTTTGAGCATTTGACGGCCATGAAAAACTTACAAAAACAGGAACTGAAATATATGGGAGAACAATATTGTGAGGACACTGTGGTAGTAGCAATTAAAGGCATTGAAATTGAAATGGCGAAGATCCAGACTTTCTTCACTACTATTGATTTCTCAAACAACGGTTTTAGTGGAGAAATTCCAAATGTAATTAGCAAACTTAAGTCATTGAAGGGGCTTAACCTTTCACATAATGAGCTTACAGGTACAATTCCAGACTCGTTTGGTGATTTGAGCAATCTTGAATGGTTAGATCTCTCTTCAAATGCGCTTGTTGGTGAGATTCCGGAGCAATTGACAAATTTGACATCACTTGGAAAGTTCAATATTTCGAAAAATCGACTTGCGGGGCCCATACCTACTGGCAAACAATTTGATACATTTGAAAATAATTCGTATACTGGAAATGTTGGATTATGTGGATTTCCACTTTCCAAAACATGTGTTCCACATCCATCACCGCCATCATCATTACAACAAGAAGATGATTTGGATAATGTGAATGGATTTGATTGGAAGGTAGTGTTGATGGGGTATGCATCTGGGTTGGTAATTGGAATATCCATGGGATATCTTGTACTCTCTAATGAAATACTGAATGGGCTTATGAAAGTAATCGGAAAAACACGATGGGGTAAAATTATGAAAATTACACATCGGGCTGCATGAAGAATCCGATCCAAAAGCATATGTTGTTTCATATTGTATTATTTCTTGTGAATATTGTAGTATGTGAAAGTTCAAATAATATGCATGAATTCAAGTAATATGCATGATATCTTGCACTCCAGTCTACTTTTGTCAAAGTGGAGTAATTTCTCATGATCCTGTATATCACAAAAAATAATAATTATTGGCATGCACTTCGTACATTTTCAGGAACCCAAAGAAAAAAAAAACACAAAATTTTCAAACGAAAAAAGATAAAGACCCACAAAACAAATATTTTCCTCAAACCTCTAAGCAACCAAATGAAGGGCACAATCGAGAATTCCAAAAGGAAAACTACAAATTAACGTATTTCTCTTTCTATTTTTTGTTCTGAACAAATTATAACGTATGTCAACACATGGGTATCTCACAGTCAGCATAATTGAAGTACCATTGTTACTATCCATGCCTTGAATTAAAGTTAAAACTTGAATAATAAAAAATGAAAAACTAAAAAACCAAATGTTATTAAATTCACAAAAGTAAAGGTATACTTCCCATTTCAATTAGAACTTCAACCAAAAAAGAAAAAAATACCTCAATTTCTGCATTCAAAAGAAAGAAAAACAATTGCCCAAAGGACAACCAAGTCCAGCAGCTCGGGCACAAGAACTAGTACAATCTGTTGTGCTTTTAACTGTGCTAAACCAAGATTCAAAAATAACCACACTCAGTAGCGGATCCAAAAAAATTTATTTTAGGAATTAACGTATAAAATGTCGAAAAAAATAATTTAGACAAAAGAATCTCATGAAAATGAAACTATAATATTATAATTCATAATTAATGGAAAAATCAACATTACTTTGAAATTTAAGGGAGACATCAAAATTCCAAAACAAATTGGGAGAGTTACTACCGACAGGATTCGGTGGTCGCCGGTGTGTGGGTGGTGGTGGTGGTTTTGGTGTGGAGGGTTAGGCTTGGGAGGAGTTTGTAAGGATAGATTTATTGGGTGAAATGATATTTGAAACAAATTTGGGGAACGGGTATTGGGCTGCTTAATATCTGCTGGCCCTCTTTGTTTTTAGTATTATTTTACTTCATTCACATGGCCAACAATTTACTTAATTCACATTTTTTATTTATATTTTCTAGCATTTTCAATTTTATTTTTTAAATAAATTATTCAAGCACAAATGTGGTTCGGTGCCATTTGTAACATCCCGACGTAATTTTAATTATTTTTTAATCTAATTATGAAATTACAAATTGTCCTCTGGAGTAGGGTTATTTTGGTCACTTCTTAATCTGAAAGGATTTCGGGGAATTGAATGGCACCATGACATAGACCGCGTTGAGATGAGTTTGTAGACACATAGTAGGCTCAAATTGGAGTTGTAATGAAGAAGTTATGATCTACGGAACTGGCACAACAGTAAATATTTCGAAGTTCAATTTTTAAAATATTAGATTCATCTTTCTCCCTCTTCCTCTCTCTCGCTCTCTCTCTCCCTCATGAATCTGCCTCTCTCCGCCTCCACGAACAACAGATTTCAAACGAGATATCTCCACCATCCGGCCACCAAAACCGGAGCCACAACTTGCAAACTCTTCATCTCTCTCTCCTCTTCACATTCATACCAATTTCCAGACTTGATTCCAAGCGATAAAACCAAAAAATTGAATGAAAGGGGAGGCCAAAACCCGCTGTTTCAAAGCCAGAACTTTTGTGGGTTTTTCCGGCCGCTCCCAGTAGTGGTATCACATCCAAAATACTCCCCTACGCTCTCTCTGTAATTTCCCTAAAGGACCCGACCCAATTTCATGTAGAAATCATTGAATCCAAAGCCAAAACTTTCTAGGTTTTCGAAGAGAAAATCGTTCATTGCTTTAACGGGCAAATTAGTCTTCGACGCATATGAAACTTACTCCTCTTGATGTGCTTGATCATTTGGCATAGGTCTTGACTGACGGTTTGGAGATTTTCCGATCGGGGGAATTTACTCTGGGTACCCACGTGTTGCAGGTGTGTATGGTGGTGCGTAGGCCACTTTGTGGCGGGCCATTGGGTCATAAAATGATCCTCATGTTGTCCCGAGCACAACAGTATGCTCGGATTTGAATTTGGTTACCGTTTGACTATCGATCAGATTACACATATTAGGCGTTATTCAGGTTCCATATGTTCCAACTGTTGGATCGACTTCATTTTCATATATGTTGATCTAGGCACATCTAGGATCGTGTAGAAATTCGCGGATCGCGAATTAGAGCCTTAGATGCTTCTGTTCAATAATTCAAAGATTAGGTTAATAGTAACTGTCCGATCATGCCACAGCTAGTGATCCGACCGTTCAATTCGGACCAAACTTGCAGGACATGTATAATAAATCATGTTGAACCCGAAGGAACTTTCGGATAGGAAATCGGAGGTCATGGATCTTGCGGGCCCGGTTGATCAAGTTTGGGCAGTTTGACCCCTCGGTTGACTGTGAGTCTTCCGAGGTAGTTTTACCCTTCGAGGAGTACAAGAATGACCTTATTTACTAGTCTTGACTGTTATTTGAGTTATGTTAATTATGTTGGGATTATGAGATTATTTTATAGTATCGTATGGAATTCTTTGATATTAGTTTGATAATTGAAGGTATGGAATGGATGAGCATGGAATACTTGATCGATGGGTTGTGAAAAAGTGAGTCTTGGGTCTTGGCTATGATTATTAGTAAATAAATGGACGTTTGTTTTTTAGTGTACTTCGTTCTTTTAATATGGAATTTCTTGCATAATGAGTTTTGATTGAAAATTGATTCAATATGGGTTACTGAGGATATGGGATCTCTAAAGGCTATTACTTATGATTATTATTAAAGTATATGGAGTGGGTGATATCGGGTTATCTACGAAAATCTATGGTTTTAATTGTGGAATATAGTATTTTATGGAAATTAAGTATAAATAAGTTTTGATTAAGGAGATGATTTTTCCACTCCTTTTTTCTTCACTTACACTCCTTTTTATTTTTTAATCTTTTTTAATCAATTTTTTTCTTTTCTTTTCTTTCTCTTTCCTATTTTACCCTCGGTGACAAGGCACCTCTCCCGTGTTCTCTCTCTCCTGACCAAGCCCACCCCTCCTCATTTCCTCTCCCTCTTTTTCTCTCTTCCCCGCTCTTTCGTCAAAAACCATCCAGGTTTTTTTAAAAGTTTTGGGTTTGAGTGTGGCTATCGGTGGGACGATAAGGTCATTTGTGGCTGGCTATGTTGGGGCAGCGATGGCTATTGGTAGGTGGGTGGCATGTGGGGTGGGGCATGAGGGTGGGTTGAGAAAGCTATAATTGGTTGAGCTGAATCACAGAGTGTAAAGCTTCTTACTTGAAGCGAAAAACTTCATACCCGAGCAGTAGAAATTTCCCTTTGTTATCACTTAGCAAAAATGTTACAAGGAAGGACAACAAGTCAGAGACTTTTGAGAATTTGGTGGGAATAAAACATGGTTTTGACTGATGTTGATTTTGGAGATAAAAAAGAGAAAGTTGGCTTTGGAGATGAAAAATAAAATTTTGGTTTTTTAATTTGCAGAGAGAGGGGTTGAGAAAAGGAGTCGAGGGAGAGCAAGCCATTGATGTTGTTGGGGCTAGAGGGCAGTGCAGTGGTGGATTGGGTGGTAGTGGGGTGGTGGGCCTAAGTGTAGTGATGGGAGGAGGAGGGGTTTGACAAAGAGAGGGGTTGTTGGGGCTAGGGAAAATATTTTTGCCTTGTTTTGTAAAAAATTAATTTTAAAGAATTCATCTATCCATTGAAAAATAATATTAAAAATGAAGTGCAAGTAGGAAAAATAATAATATAAAAGTGAAGTAAGATAAGGGTAGAATAGGAAAGAGAACGAACAAAAGAGAACAAAAGTAATTAAATTTTTTTTTTTTTTTAAAGGGAGTATAAGTGGATAAAATGGGAGTGGGAAAATCAGTTCCCTTTTATTACTATTTGAATTATTTTTGGGTCTTTATGGAATATGTGCTTGAGAGTTTACTTTCTATACTATGAATAAATATTTGGGGAAAATTGAATTAAGGAATGGAATATTATTTTTATAATATTTATATAAGGGTTATAAACCTCACCATCATATGTACATTCCCTGGTCACGATACCTACACTTGGTGTTGGATTTTCCGATATGTGGGCTTCCTTGGAAAACTGTGGATATGGTTTGGGTATGTCGGAACCCGGGCACCCTTGATGAGTGTTATCGTAGACTCTTAGCAAGGTAGTCTGCACGTTTAAGACTTGTCACAGGTGCACGAATATTCTGTTGTGCGTGATGGTGAGCCTAATCCCCCAGTTGGACGGGTCGTCCCTAGCCACATGGTTGTTGAGGATTCCTCCGTGTAGTTCAGCAAAACGATTCCCTTGTTGGATTATTTTCCTTGGTACATGATGTGTACTATCATATGTAGCTCCCCTTGAATACTAATACTTGGAAACAGTGGACATGGATATTTGGATACATGGAAATTGATAGCTGGTTAGTTTGCGCGCATTGGACTTGTCACAGGCGCACAAGTATTGAGGATTCTGTTGTGCATGCTAATGACCCAAAATAGACGGCTCGTCCCTGGCCACCTGGTTTCTTGAGGATTCCTCCATGTGTCTAGTTAAATGATCCCCGGATTGGATTGTTCTTCCCCTGGTACATGATGATTGTGTGAGCTGTGTCTGGACTGAGATATATATATATATTTATAAATATACATATGTACATACATACATATGTGTGTGTATTGAGATATATATATATATATATATGGATATGTTTTCCGGTCGTGATTCTTGAACGGGTGTTTCGTGAGTACTATGCACAGGTATGAACATCTGATTTGTAGTTTGGAAAGTGTTGTTCGGCAACATACGCCTTGGACAGGGTATGATTGCGGGAATGAACTGATAAAAGGAAAAGAACTTATAAAGTATTCAGTGGATGCCTTGTCGAACTTGATGTTGATATTTGAATCT